TTTTTTTCCAAAGTACTGTATTCAGAAAAAAAAATGCCGAACAATTCAGAGGTTTTGTCCATGCCTGTACTATTAGGCAACGGGCACTGCCTCAAGGCGCATGATTGGTTTCCGGTGCAATGTCGACCAATGACAGCACGAGTGGATTTATCCTGTGAGCTGATTGGCTGCGTATCTTTGCAGCCCCACCCAGCGTGACGAGACACTTGGGAAGTCTTGTGTGTGTCACATCATGCTGTTGATTCTCTGGCATACTGTCTCTTCTATTTGCTTCGTGCGTACTGGGCAGAGAGAGAAAGAGTGAGAGAACGCGAGAAATAGGGGTGAGAGAGAGAGAGAGACAGAGAGTGAGAGAGAGTGTGCGACCAGTGCGCTTCGAGGGAACATTGGTGCTGTTGCATCTCCGGTAAACGTAAATCTAAATGAAAGATACCTTTCATTGTTCTGCCTCGAATCGGAAATTTTGCTTGTCTCGAAGCGTAAGGCAATTTCCTCGCTGCTGCTGCTTCCTACCGGTATGGAAGAGTCCTACATGGTTGCTCTTCCAGGTGATCGACCGCACGGGCATCCACATTGGATAATTTCCCAGGGCCCACCTGACAATTGCCACGGCACAGGGTTTGAAAAACACTGAATTAGACATTCATAATAAAGACCCAATGAGGAGAGGACACACTGGATTCTGGTACCAATCACTCAAAGCGAGAAATGAGGAGAAGCGTGAGGTTTCAGTTCTCTGTACATCACCCTAATGATCTCCCCGTTCGCCCTCTATTTTACTTCTCAATGGGAATCTAATACAGGGGTGTATCCAACCTCAAGGGTGAGGGTTGTTGAAGACACACTGAACTTATTCGGCTATGGGTGTGTATGTGAGTGAAAATTACGTACATGTGTGCAATCATGACAAAAACACCAAGTTACAGCTGGCGTTTGCAGCTCCATCCACGTCCGACCTTGCTCTTGTTTTGTCTAAATACTTATCTCTTTCCAACCACTTTCTTGTAACGGTGGTTACATCACTCAACTATGACACAGTGCATTTAGAATTCTTTATTGTAAATGTGAACATATCTTCATTAAAAGCATAATTATGTCTTAATTAAAAGCATAAGTGTTCTTCATTGCAGGCATAATCAATTTATAATTGCAGGCATCAGCGTTCTTCATTGCAAGCATAATCGATTTATTATTAATAATATGCAAATGTATGACAACTAAAAACAATCAACTGAACACTGAGCAAACCCTCCTTCGTGGGTTTTCACTTATCGCGGCAAGGGCCCGGTCCCCATTAAGATATCCTTTATTTGTCCCACACTGGGGAAATTTACAGTCTACAGTAGCAAAATTGGGGGGTAGAAAGAAGAAAAACAAAGTGTTTGCATGCACAAAAATAAATATTTCAGTATAAGTGCAATATAAATACAGATATAGATATGTAAAGAGTGAATACAGTGGCGGGCCCTGAGGGCCAGCAAGGCCTTCTCTGCTGGCCTAAACATTCTCAGAAAAGTAAATTTACTTTTCTGAGAATGACATAAATTTGTTATTTTATTTTCATAAATATGTAAACAAAATTATTCTCTGTATTCTTTATATCATATTATTTCCACTTAGTCGAGTGGCTTTCAATGTTATTATAAATAACAGGTAAATTGTTGTGTTGCCAGGTAAATTAAAGTTGCTCGGGGCCTTCAGATTAAACAGAGCAGGGCCCTGTGCGCTGTAAATGAACGGGCACCGTCAGGTTTCAATAGCCAATCAGATCACGAGTCTGAGACTCGTGATCTGTATCCTGTATCCTGACTTGTTCTCGTCT